CCCTTTCAAGTTCACACCCTTCATGAAAGATTCACTTGAGGAAATGTGACAGTGTTCCAGTCCCTGAATGCTGCTGACATCATAGTTGGGTTTAGGCAATGAGTTCTCTATAAGTTAGTGATAGAACACAGGATTGGTTCAGAATTAAGCCTTAAGGATTCATTCTGGAGAATACCAGCTTTCATGTGAAGGTGGGAATGCTTTCCTCCACATCTTAAATATCACTTATTTGTCAGGTGAAAAAATAATTTATAATGTCTGTTGTGCTAACCAAAACAGCCTCCAGTGTTAACTGAAGATAAAGATAACTTTGGGAAGGCAGTCTCCTGCATGCAGTCTTTCATCCTCAGTGGGCTGCATAAAAATGGGCCTCGGATCTAAAACAATTCCTTACCAAGAGGTAAAGAGCCCACACAGCCTGAGCTGAGCTCATCACCTCTTTTGCTCTGTCAAACACCCCATCTTTCTTTTCCCTTCTGTCTCCTGTCTGTAGTGGGTACCTCTGTTCTCTCACGAATACATTCATCTCTTCTCTAACCCTCTCATTCCCTTTAGCTTTTCTGTTTCTTCAACCTTTATTTACCCACTTCCTTATCTTCTATTGATCATCTATCATCCGCAAACTGGTTTCTGCCACTCTTCCTCAGTAATAAAAGGCTCTTGCCCAAGTCATTAAAGATACTTCTATTAGTCTGAGGCATTTACAGAGTCAGTATACTAATTAAGGTAGGTAAGGATATGCTGGGAAAACTAATTCCTAAATCTTAATGGCATTACCTAATGAATGTTTATTTTTTGCTCGTGTCATGATTTACTCATGAAGATATTCATCTTTGTTGGCCTTCTAGGTGGTGATTCAGAGACTTAGGCCATCTCCTGGAGACTTACAGTCCTCAGCCAGACCTCTGCATCTGGCAGCTGAAGAACAAAGAGTGTGGAGGACTGTGTGTATTGTTAGCATGGGTCAGAACTAGAGGAGAAATATATCACTTCTACTCATTCCATTGGCCATATACAGCCTGAAAGGGAGGCTGGGAAATGCATTGTAGCTGTTTGTCCAGTTGGAAAAAGAAACTGCTGAGCATACAGCAGTTATTTACCAGAGTCTGCCTTTCTGAAACTTTCTCTCTTTTGTCTTCTATAAGATCATTCTCTTGGTTTCTATCTTCAGATCTTGACTGCTTGTTTTCAGTCTCCTCCTCAGCTCCTCTTTCTTTTACCCATCCCTTAATGTTGGTACTCCCCAGCATTATCTCTTGTCTCTTTTCTTGCTACACGACTCTCCCTGGAAGATTTCATAAACAACCAGAACATCTATCTCCATCTTTCTGTTCATATCCCCATGTAAAAGCTGTTCCTCATTTTACAAGTCCCCATTTAGATAGGGAGGTATGGACTCAGTCACTAAACTAGAGAACTGGAAATGATCCTTCATTCTTTCCCTTGCCTTTATAACTGCAGTTTCTCAACCACCACACTATTGATATTTAAGACAAGATAATTCATTGTGTGGGAGCTGTCCAGTGCATTATAGAATGTTTAGTAGCATCTCTGTTCTCGCTACCAGATGCCAGTAGCTAAGTCTCCCACCTTCACCAAGTTGTGACAAAAAACAGTTATCTCCAGACAATGTCAAATGTGCCCTTGGGAAGGAGGGGATCATCCCCAGTTGAGAACTGCATTATCCAGCTCTATGGAGTCAATCATTGCAATATTTATCCCTGCCATTCCTTTTTCTTGCCATTAATTTTATTAAATGCCACATCATGTTGTGTCTGGGTTTTTCCAATTGCTTCCTATCTGGCTGTGGCAAATTGGCTGACCAAACAGTTATTCTTGACTCAAATTTTCATCTCCACTCTCCACTAAAGAAAAACACAATACTTGTTTTTCAGCCTCTCTCACATGGCTAGGTAACATCATGTGGCATGACAAATCAGATTTGTGAAGAGGTGGACGCTTGAACTTAAAAGATTTGAAGGCTATAGAATCATCGGGCTTGGATTGTATTTCAGTCTCATCACTCTGCTAGTTGTGTGGCTTTAAGAAAGTTATTTCTCTCTGCCCCATCAGTAACACTGGTATAATAATAGTACCAATCTTACCAGGATTACTGTGAAGATTAATGAGTTAGTATTTATAAAGTAGTAATATACCTCCCTGAATATAAACACTGGACAAATGGTGTCTACTATGATTGGGGTGATGGCAGTGATGATGTGATATCTCTTTTCTTTGCTAATCGCAAAGTTACTACTTCATATATTATCACCAACCACTATTCACTTTTGAAGACTCAGTTTATGGGAGACATTTTCTGGAAATTTGCCCACACTTTTCCTTCCAAATTACAAGCCCTTTCTCAGGTGTTACGTTTTTTTTTTCTCACTAGGCTGTGAATGCCTACAAGGCAAAGACAGAAACTTTCTTCTCTCTATATATATTCCCAATACCACAAATGCTTGATAAATATGAAACACTGAGTAAAGTTCTGTTGACTAAATCAATAAGTGAATGGATATTAGTAATACATGCTAACCTTGCAAAAAAAAAATTCTCTCCTATTTAGCATCAGGTGGGGAGGGTAGACCTTTAAAAGGTTTTGGATATACCTAGGGTAAAGGAAACACTTATCAACCATGTGAATTTTTAAAAGGAAATTTATCTCACTAGCCTGGCCAATTCCAGTCAGCTTTTAAGTAAGTTGAAGCTAGGGACTAAATTTTTCTTACGGTAAAGAGAAAAACTATATATGTGACACCAAGCTTTGCAGACATCCTTCAGAAACCTTATTTTAAATAAATTCATCTAAATCTGCATTGGAGAGTGGCAATGGGAAGTGTTAATTAACAGAGAAGTTATAGTTTTAACACTCCATTGATATAGAAAGTTTCCAAAATGAGGAGCTTTAAAGTTGCCTTGTGGTTAAAAGAACTTTTAATTACACACACACACACACACACACACACACACACACACACACACACACACACTTTCTTCACCTGTCCAGTCTCTACTTAAGAGACTGTTAATAAACTGTAAAATACATTTCCAGCGGAAAAAAGGAGTAACTATAATCCTAAGTAATTCAGTATTCTCATCCTGGTCTCAACATAACCACATTTGGTTAGACCCTGGTGGTGTTTTTTCTTCCCAAATTTTGTATCCAACCACCTGTCATTTGCCATTTTACCAAACTCCAACTAAGATCCTCTTCTTTTGATCAAAATATGTTAGTCTATTCTTCTTCAGTGATTCCTAAATTTTTTGGTGGAGGAAGAACTTTTTATTTTGCCAAGTACTTAAAGATATTTTTTGTGTTTTTGAGTGCTATGGTAGGATTTCTTTTGCAAGAGTCCTTTCATGTAAGCATATTGCATTCATATTGTTCCTGAAGTTGGCTCCTATGGGACTGGCAGAGATGAAATTGCCACTTATACACAGAATTGCCATTCTGTTATGACCAAGATCACCTGAGTGATAGAACTGGAGCATGGGTTCAAGCACAGGGTGGAACACTCAGATGCCTTCCAGGCCAAGCAAGTATGGTCAAAGGATAAGAAAGGTTAAGGTCAAGTCTAAGAAAGTGACCAGAGGAGTGTGAGGGGACCTTAAGAGGGCATACCAGGGGGTGAAATGATATGAATTCTAAGTTGTTTGTTTTTTTTAAATAAACACTATAGGGTTTCCATTTAACATGGCTGGGTGACCAACTTATCTGCATTCCTTTCCCAGACTCTTAAAATGACAGTGAAGAAATAAAAAAAGGTAAGAATCCACAAATCCCGAGAGGAGATACTAGCGGAGGACAGTTTTAAGACAAAGCTGAGAAGACAAAGTAAAGTGGAAGAAAGTAACTTAGTTCTTCAAATGGAAGAAATTACAACCTTTGGAAGATAGGGGTTGGGAGTACCAACACTAAACGGTGGAAATTACCAGTATTTTCCTTTCCCACAGCCAGGACACTCTGTCTGAACTTACTCTTCAAAGAGTTCCCTATGAAACTTAACCTGAGAGGCCCCACATATAAGGGAATATATATTGGCACAATTTTGGATGGGGATGAGGGTGGGCAGTGGCTGAAAACAGCTAAGTCTCACTCAGTCTGAACTCTGGAATCAAAGCTCCACCCCAATTCAGACCACTAAATCAAATCTTATTGAAAAGTGAACGGAAATGAATTACTGGAAACAGAAATTTCTTAAAGTCTCCCAAACTCATTTCCTTTACCTTTAAAAAAATAGGGGTCACATTTAATATGCAAACAGCCCACTCTTTAAAGGTAACTTTTCGTCAGTACGACAACAGCCTCAGTAACACTTGTGACTTTCTCTGATAACTACAGTCCTTCCAGACACTAACGAGTAAGTTCACTTTCCCTGGATGCCCGAAAGGTCCTGAAGAAGTGACATCAACACCAGAGAGCCAAGGTTCGACCAATAGGTGGAACACAGAGCGCCCTACCAAAGCGAGTGCCTCCAGCCCTCCTTGCGAGCGTCCAGGCGATTTCGCACCCTGCGGGGCTGCGCGGGCTCCAGAGCTAGGGCTGCGGCCCAGCCCAGCCGCTGGGAGAGGGACAAGCGAGCCGGTTCACGTAGCCTCCACGCCCACCTCCTCCTACTACGCGTTCCCTCCCTTTGCCAAAGCTCGCACTCTCGGGGCTGCCCTTATTGTTGGCCGCGTCTGTCACTTTGTGGGCCGGGTGACATGAATGGATGAGCTGGACACACCTTCCAGCCTTCTAGAAGAAGAAGAAAAAAATCCGTCCTATCTGCATAGAAAGCGGGAGGGACGCCCCCGGCGCCCCCGGAGCTTACGCCGCGGGCCCGGGAAACGCACGGCTTCCCCCTCCCACATTCACTCCTCCCATCCTTTAAAAAGACGATCGACCCAAATAAATAATACCGTTCCAAGCCTGCCGGCGTCCTCGGTGCCCCGTCTTCCTTTCCCTGGGCGCGCGAGTTCGGGCGGGCGTGCGGCCGGCCGGCGGGCACCTCACTATGCTCCCCAGCGCCGTGGCGGCCCACGCGGGCGCGTACTGGGACGTGGTGGCTTCCTCCGCGCTCCTCAACTTCCCCGCAGCGCCGGGCTTTGGCAACCTGGGCAAGAGTTTCCTGATCGAGAACTTGCTGCGGGCTGGGGGCGCCCCGCCGCCCGGGCTGCAGCCGCCCCCGCCCCACGGTCCGGCAGCCGCTTTAGCCACCGCCGCCGCAGGCGCGCAGCTCCGGCCCTTGCCTGCCAACCCCGTTCCCCTGAAGCTGTGCCCTGCGGCCGAGCAAGCCAGTCCCGGCGGGGCGCCCTACGGCACGCGGTGGGCTTTTCAAGTGCTCAGCCCCTCAGCGGATGACGCAAGGCTGCCGGGCCGCCCTACGACAGACCGAGACTGTACCTTCCAGCCTTCAGCCCCAGGTGAGCCCGCTCTCCCCTCCCCAGTCGCGCCCCGCGCCTCCTGGCCCGGATTCTGGGCGCGCTGGCGATGCGCACTTCGCGGAGGGCGCTGCGGCTCCAGTGCGCAGGAATCCGCTCTGGCCTGGAACCTTCCTAGAACGTCTTGAGTTTTAGTGGAGGTGCCACTTCGGGGGTAAGGAGGGTACCACCACTAATGGATCTCCGCCCGCATCCCATACCACCAGACTCCTCTCTGTCCCCTTTCAACAAGTGGTAGGGCTACGCCTTCATTTTCAGGCCTTTCTAGAGATACCCCGAAGTCACCTTGTTAGCCCGAAAGGGCAGCCCCAGTCTCTCCACATCTGGGCTCGCTGGACCAATTTATGGGATTTCCTAAATTCAGCGTTTCTGTCCCGGAGGCCGCGCGCCGTCGACTCCCGGGAAAGTTCTTGGCAAGAAGAGCTTCGCGCGCTGTCCGCTTTGGGGGCTTTTGCCTCTTAAACTGTTGCAACGGTCGGGGCCCTTCAAGAACGCTCTCAAAGATCTTTGGAAGGAGAGTTGGGCAAAGTTTTGGCTTTCTCCACTCTCACATTTTGAATCGATCACTAAAGCGCAAGGAAATCGAGGCCGGCTTTTTTTTTCGTGCTGAGCTGAAACAGCTGAATTGGCACCTGGAGTAGGAAATTCATCAATAAATAGGAATTTACCCAAAGAAAGGCAGTTTGGGTTTGTTTTAATTCACACATAAAACCTAAGTGATGTGCGTGGGAAGCTGATGCGGACAGTTTAGTCAAATACTAGCTAAAGGTTATGGAGGGGCAACCGAAATCGTCAGTGAAAAGGGGAAAAGGCTCTTAGAGACTCAGAAACTGAGATCCAGTTGGATTAAATTTTTTATCTGCGTCCTTAGACGATCTTAACTCATTCTTTCAATCCCGGTGGGTTTGTCCACAATGACTAATAGACGCTTTTTCAGCAAATTCCATTGTCCCAGTAAACTGCCGGATCAAATTTATTGCTAATGGCTTTATAGAATTTAACATGTTTAGAATCTGTCCTCGTCTTTCAGTTTGCAATTGCTACTAACAGAATGGAACAAGTATAATTATATGACCACCGGTCTCATTCACGTAGTGTAAAACCTAAATTCTAGGAAGCCTTTTTGCAGCCTGAGAGAGGAACAAATATAGTTAAGGCAAAGTGTATATGCCTTGGAAATTTGGGCCGCTCTGTTCTTTTTGAAGTAGTAGGAAAATTAGAAACATATAAAGCCACTTCACATAGGCAGTATTAGTAAATAATTAATGTTGTCGCATAAAAATAACATTTTCAAGAAAATTTAGTGATTTGAATAACTTTTAGTGGTTTGGCATTGTGCTCATAGAAGTTATTTTTCAAGGATTCTTATATTGCTCCTGATCATGATTGGCTACTCATCAATGGAAATTTACTTAATTTTAACCTTTGTCGACTTTACAGATTAAATTTAAATAAACAAATGCAGATATTTCAATAACTTTGAAACATAATTTCGGATACCTAATCATTTCATTCAAAATGTTGCAATTATTGGGTAAAGGTTTCCTATCTACTTTTTTAAAAAAAAATTTTCAAGAACATGTTCATTCTTGTTTACTTATGAAAGTGTCAAAATGCGAAAATGATTTTTTTTTGGAATAATTAAGAGTATAGGAATTTATATTTCCCTTTTAAGCATTCTAATATAGTTTAAGCATATATTTTTTCCTAATGTTTTGACCAGTCTTCATTGAAGATTTAATGTCCTCCTATGTTAATTTTTATTGGAATAAATGACCTTTTATTTCAAAAAGTCATTCTTGTAAAGAGTACATTTAGTTTTTGAAACTAGAAAAATATCTTAAGAAAATTAAAGCCCCGTAAGTTTGTGCCCACAATCATGCTGCTTAAAGTCAGCGTTTATATTAGTTTATTTTCATATTTTGACAAAGAATGTCGTTTTTATGAACATTGCTCAATTTTATTTAAATGACTGATTCTTGCCTTACCAAATGTTATAGGAATCTTTTTATACTGTGTAGAATTATGAAGTTATAATGAGTGCTGAAAATGTTAGCTATCACCTGAAAATTAGATGGGGATGAAATAGTGATTATATTCTGTAGAGAGTATAAAGGAGATAGAAAAGCTACTGTTTGCAGAAAGATAACGATATTTCTGAAATGGCAGTGAACAACCAGTTCTGATCCTTTAGACACTAACTGAGGAGTGGATGACAAAATGGGATTTTTAATTATTTCAGTGTATTGAGTACCCACTTTTTTGCAACCTTTATTTGTTGAGTGCTCCAGTCTAAACGAATAAGAAAACCGCAGAACTCTTTTTAAGTGCATTGGTGAAATACAGCACCGTTTAACTAGGGGATGCATTTCTGCTTCATTATTTTTGTTACCCGCTATTAATTGTACCATATATTTCATTCATTCAGCAAATGCTTACCGACTGTCCCGCATGTGTCAGGCTCTGCACTAGGCCATTGGGATAATCAGTGAACAAATAAGATGACTGTCTCTGCCCCAGCGGGGGCATCTTCTGTACTGCTTTATGGTTTACCAAGCATTTTTTAAATTGTTAGTTGCTTTAATACTCATAATAGACCAATTTTTTCTATAATGATTATTTCACTTCCTAGTTTTGTTTTTGTCTGAAATAGTTTAAACATCTGTGAACTTGTGAAAGAGAAAAAAAATTGCCCTACATCTTCATATTCCTTAAATTAGTCTTTCATCAAATATGAGAAACTAATGAGAGATAATAGGATAACCAATTACATGTATCACAACAATAAATCAGATTGTGATGTTGTATCTGAGCCTATAAAAGAAATTGACCTTTCCATTTCTTTATTTCATTATGTATCTGAAAAGTGGTGACAGTTAAACAGTAACACAGATTTATTTACAGGTCATGGATGAAAGTATAGCTGTCAGTGCTTTGCCCCTGAAAACTGGCAAGCATTTGAGTATGTAGTGTAAGAAAAGGAACAGTCCATAGCTATATGTTGCCAAGTTCTTCATGTAGAATAGTTTTAAAACTTTCCTTTAAAACTCAAAGGACATTCCTCAAGGCTTGAGAGGGACAGACCATTTAGTGCAATAGTAGGTAGTAAGAAGGTTCAACTCCAGGGGTTGTATCTGAAAAAAATAAGTAAATAAAGTCCTGTTATTGTTTATTGATGGAAACCAGGAGGTTTTGTAAGTAAATCCTAAACATCAGCCATCCTTCCCCAGAGGTTTGTAAATGTCATTATTTGGCAAATACTGTACTAGATTAAAATATTTATGTTTTCATATGTAAAGAGGGTCTTAAAATGTAAAAAGTTGAAAAATTTAAATTACTTTTGGTTATGCCACCAATTACCTTCAAAATAAGTAGAACAAATACCCCTGCTTTTAAATAACATTTGTTATTTTAAACATTTTAGACAATGGTTGACATAGAGATAATTTCCTGAATATAATTTATTGATTATTAAATCTACTCCTTGTGCTGCCTATAAAAGGATTAGAAAGCAAATGTTTATTCTGGATAGGTGAATTGAACTGTCTTTTAAAGCAATTTTGTCAAGTAAGTTGTACTGTATAATACAGAAATGGAACCATAGTATTTTTTCCTGGCACCGTTAGGATGGTTTCTTACCATTATTACTGAATGTGCAATCTAGTTTTCTTTTCCACCTCTCAGTCCTAGTTACTGTTTACCGATTATTCCTTAACTGTCTTAAATTTATGTTTTGTGTTCCAATTGGTAGTTTTTTCCACTTTCACTGAGATACACTGAAAGTGTAAAATAAAATAACTTCCCTTACATTTTAGGCATGTGGAGGAGGGAGGAAAAAATGGATCTGTGCTCCAAGTGAGGATTCCAGTTCAGATGAAGACTTTATGATCTGATTTATTAAGCCAGAGTTTGTCCTCTATTTTTACTAACACTATGCTCTAGATTTGTATTGACAAATCAAAAATCACAGAATCTTGACTGTTGATGATGCTGACCCAGAACCAGCACAAAGAGAATGGGAATCCAGAAGAGGATAATGGATGGGACCCATTCGTTTAGTTCCTTGCTCAGGCCATCACCCCAACCATCCTTTGCTGGAATTTTTAGATACTACCTCACCATATTTTTACTTCATCTGAATATTTTTTATAATCTGCTCAACAAATCTTTAGATTTATATTAATATATTAGTAGCTTTTATATAGTTCATGAAGAATCTGCTTTGAGCAAATTGTTATATGGTCTATAAATTAATAAACTCCTTCAGGTTAAAGGAGAAGCTCTTGCAGTGAAGAGAATCAATAAGGCTAATAGACAGTCCCTTTACTTCTGGTACTGAATGAATAAGCCATTCCTTACAAAATAATGTCTGAGTTGGAACTACAACAGCGTAGCAATTAATGTGCATTTAATTTGCTTCTGACTTTAGCACTGAGCCCTCTCTCAGCCCCTAACATACGCTTCTCTACTTTGCTTTAACAATAAGGAATCTCATTCTGTTAACATGTATTGAAGTTATTGAGGTTTAACAATAAAACAGGAGTAAATCCAGCAGACATGTAGGAACATTTTAGAAGTTTCTCCTTGACTCTTATTCACTTTAGGAATCTGAAGGTTATTTTAAGAGGCACAATGGTTTG